CTCAGGCAATCCACTCACCTCAGCCTCCCAAGGCGCGGGATTACAGGCTGAGCCATCGAGACCAGCTGAGTGTGCTTCTTAATGTAGGTGTTTAAACGTTGAAATGTAGTTAACAGTGTGGTCGCCATCCCCTCTGTGGTGGACTCAATCACAGGCTGAATAGGCGTTTCCTTAGAGGATCTCAGTCTCCACTGGTTCCAAATGGACTGCCCAGTGAGGCAGCATCCAGCCTCTCTGGGCCCCTTCTGGGCTTCTGCAGGCTTGTCTTCCCTGATGCATCCTGCTCCACCCATCTTCTCTCTGCACCTCTGCTTGCTTTGCTTCTTGGGCTCTTGTCAAGCCTGTCTGACTACTCTGAGCATTTGTTGTGTGCTGAATTGCTTGCCTCTAGGCTGCTGAGAGTGTTGAGGAGGTGTCTCCCATCCTCCAGAGGACTTGTCAGGGGTGTTGGGCTACCTGGACCCCCTTCCTCCTAGTCCAGCTCCAGCAGTGGGTGGCAACTCCGGGCCACCTCCCGAAGTCCAGCCTCAGCCTGAAGGAGATGTGGCAGAAGGCAGGGGAGGAGAAACCCTGGGTCTGTTTTTAGGCTGGAGAGACCCACTGGGGTGTTGGCAGGCCTTGCATGTAAGACCTGTCCCCAGCTGCCACCACTGGGACTGGTACTTGCCAGTGCTTGTCCCAGAGGTGATAAGCCGGTCCCGTTGCTTTTGCAGTGGTGGTGTGTCTTCCTGGAGTCCAGATCAGGGAAACCGAGCACCTCTGGGATGCTGATGGTGTGCATGTTCATGCATGTTTGAGCATATTCAGAAAAGCACAGGCAGGACTGGGGCTCGCAGGGTGGGACCCTGTGTTTTCCTGAGACATTGACTTGTGCTTCTGAGGTCAACTCAGCTCCACTGGCCAGCTCCATTACTCCAGCCGTGGGTACACAGCTGCGAGCTGGGGTGGCAGGACCCTCCTTCCGTCTCTGTCTCCTTTGTCAGGCTGTGGTGCGTTGCCACACATCCTATGACAAGCTCACTGATGTGGGGCCAATGCTGTGAAAAGCTTGGGGGCCTGCCTGGTTGTGTGGATATCTGAGACTCACAAGGGCCTGTCTTAGAAAGACTTATGTGCTCACTCCAGGTCCCTGCAGGTATTCCATGGCATCAACCAGGGGTTGGAGAGGGTCTGGCAGTGGAAAGTGCTCCCTGTGGTGGAGGCCTCAAGGCTAGGTTGTTCAGGCACAAGGATGGGTGTTTGTGGTCAGGGCGTCAGCTTTCCCATCCAGCACTCTTTGTCAGGTGGAGTTGGTGGTGCTGAGAACACTCAGGCTTCCCGAGGGACGACTGGGGTTTCCGAAACTCTGAGCGCTGGTTTTCTGGCTTCTATACCACATGAATATTGTCTCCTTGGTGAGTGCCGTAGCTGTCGGGAGTTTTTGGTTTCTGATCCTCTTAGGGAGGATATGCTTGTATTTTTCTTTTTTTTTTTTTTTTTT